TTCTTTTTATTTTTATTTTTGCATGTTATCACTGTGCCCGTTTTTTGCTTTTATTCTTTGTTCCGCAAAGTGCGCTCTTTTAGTTTGTAGTGATGTCTCCATCAGAAACTGCCAAGCTATTTTTTTTCATACCTTGAAGTGGGTTGCTATGGACATCTATACAGAAGGAAGGAATTGCAGCTGTAACAGACACGGTGGGGCATAATCAAGAAAAAACAGAGACAGTCTGAGAGAGGAAGGACAAAGCTAACAAGTAGTACACTTGTGTGCATCCCCATGTGTGTGTGTTATGTATTGTGTGTGTGTGTGTGTGTGTGTGTGTGTGTGTGTGTGTGTGGCGAGGGGGAGGTGTGATGGAGTGACTTCCAGGGAATGCCCCAGTTGTTGTGATAGGTTCGAAGGCTTATTTTCTGCCGATGAGGAATATGCAGTGGCTGCACACAGCTCCCACAATTGTTGCTCTTCTTGGTCATACTCTTGGATTCTCTCTTGCAGAGGTACTCTCTCTCTCTCTCTCTCTCTCTCTCTCTCTCTCTCTCTCTCTCTCTCTCTCTCACACACACACACACACACACACACACACACATCGAGTCAGTCTGTTGTGCTGGTGATCATGGAGAACCTGACCTGATCCTCCTTTGTCTCTCCCCCTTTTCTTCTTTGCCCCTCTGCCCTCTTTCCTTCCATCCCCTTGCAGATCTCTTACTTGAAAATAGATTACGGTGATTACCAACTAATTGACAATATTATGCAAGTACAAGCGCACATATCATGGCCGGGCGTTTGGGCACTTGCCACTAAACCACACAAACGTCTGTAACCTTGCCCTTTCTTTTTTTTCTTTTTTTTTTGTTTAAATTTGGGGTCCATTTTGTTGTCGAGGGTGGATGCTAGGCCTTGGTAGGTGCCTGCCGTCGTACTCAACCAGTGAGGGGATCAGATGGCTTGTGCCAACCCCAGGGATCCGATAGCTGTGATGGGACAAGTACTGGCGGTTTAATGTCCCCGCGCTGGCAACTGCGAAATGCTGCAAGGCTGCAACGAGTCTTAGGGAAGTCACAGGGTAACCGCTTTGGTGATTTCTCTGTGTTTCCCGGCAAGTAAACACCTCAGCAATTTCCAGGGAAATCATGTCTGGGTGATTTCTCTGTCTTTCCCACCAAGTAGCAACTACCAACAACCTTGATGATTGCCCTACCCTTTTTCCCCCTCTGCACGTCAAAATCATGCCTTTGTGATTTCCCCGGGAGGCAAAAAACTCCTTGTCGACGATTTCCCGACAAGTAACTCGACTCAGTCAAAGTCAAAGTCAAATAACACCTTGTCAATGACATCATGATTTCTGTGTTTAGGTTCATTCCCCCCGAGTAATGTAATGTGTACGAACAACGCTGGACCCGTTTTCCAGCAGGTGCTGCTCCCCACCAATAGATGGACCTTTTTTATTAAAAAAAAAACAAAAAAAAAACGAACAACCTCTAGGAATGCTCTGGTCACCCTGGCAAGCAACACCTTGGTGATATCCCCCCCGCAGGGAACAGAAAAAAGGGCTGGCCGGAGGCCTTGAGGCCTTGAGGCATTCAAGTTATGGTAGAATTTCCCTCCCCAAGGTAATTATGAGTTATCTGACTGATCTGCTGATCTGATCGCAGCAGGTCTCCAAATCAGGTCTGTTTATCATCAGTTAATGGGTGTACCACTGTACCACTGTACCATGCAGCCACACATGGGCTTGGTCATTTCTCACTTTTCCATCAAAGGAACACCTCAATGACCTCATCGATGTCGATTTCCGTCCTCAACAGCAATTTCGTCAAAACGGACATATTTGCAATGAGCCCAGACGTGATGATACTCGTCAACATTACCAGTCCATATGATTATCGATCTGCTGATGAATGACAAACAATCCCAATGTATGTGATGATAGAATGAGGTGAGAATCATACACAGACRAAGGAGGAGAGAGGGGGAATAGACAAAGGAGAGAGAAGAAGACAACAGCCCACTTCTGCTTCGGGTCCCTCCTCCTCCTCAACACCTCATCAATCAATAGTCCGATTACAATGTCTGAAGTTCTTCCTCAATGTGCCATGTGGCACGTCAATCTGTCCTCATCAGCAATGGAGAGTATCGTCATCAACCAGGTACGTAACCTCGATAACCACAGTCTTGATCCCCTTCCGAAGTGACGAAAAGAATCAGAACAGCCTCATCAACCTCGCAGCCAGCCACGTCATCAATCATATACAGGTGGCAGCGGCCACGTCAGCAACGGCGCGTGGCAGCTGCCACGTCAGCATGCCCAGAAGACCATCGCCAGCCAGCACCTTGCCAGCCAGCAGCGCCTTGCCGTCCTCCTCTGCCAGCATATAGCCGGCGTCAAGCCAATGTCGCAATGTCGCAGCATAGCAACAGCGTCAAGTCCACGCGTGAAGTCAGCATTCACGCAAGACTGAATGTTCTCCAGCCAGGAAGTCAACTCTTAAATAGCGTGGATGCGGGGTCTGGACCCCGGGTGCTGAAGTCCTGCACCGTCCAGATCTCGATGTGAAGGAGGGCCCAGATTGGCCAGAAACTGTATTCCTCCCGCCCTGAATGCTGTCTGGGTACCTGCACACAACAAGTGAATGTATCCGACCGTAGGCCTGGGCGCGGTACCTTTGCCTCTATAGTTGACTTTGACTGTTGAATTTCCTTTGTGCTGCGTTCGGTCACACAGCCTCCTCGACAGACTCAGGCTGGGCATGTCTCGGTCACATAGCCCAACACAGTCTGTGCTTTACCGGGGGCAACGTTTTGAGCCCCGGTCTGCTGTTGAACAGGGTTACTGCATTCCTGCCGACCCATATTTCGAGTTCCATCGTAGAAACATTTAAGACTTCAACCCACGTTCATAAGCAGAGACGATATCAGAAGCACATTCAAGGAGTTCTCTTTTACTAAACCATCTGTCCTCAGATGGTTTCTGACTTTTAAAACGAACCTTGAATTGCTTCTGGGGTCGTCCTCGTGCACCTGTAGAGAAGAATCCTTGTTCTATAATTCGGTCCACTTCATATCCACCATCCATATCTGGCGGTATCATAGATGGTCTATGAGGGAATTCATCTCCTTCTACATAAGGTAGCAACTTAGACGCATGAAAGACAGAATAGGTCCTGAGATAAGGGGTTAAATCAATTCTGTAAGACGGTCCCTCTGCATCTCCAATCACTTTAAGAACTTCCCAGGGTCCAAAATAGACAGGCAGGAGTTTCTGCGAGACATTTTCTTCTAATGAAGACTCTTTAGACTTGACCCAGACCAAATCACCTTCTCGGAACGTTGATGGTCGTCGATGCTTATTAGCTTGTTCGATCATTCGGTCCTGAGCTTTCTTCAAGTTTTCCTTTACCTTTTTAATGTCTTCTTGAAACAATACTGCGTATTCGCGGGTCCCTGGAGGTAACCTAAGAAACTGGTCCCTCGTTAATACATCAATGGGACGCTTAGGTTTCCATCCTTTATGCAGTGCGTTAGGTGTTCGTCCTGTAGAGGTATGAACAATACTATTATATGCACTTGCTATCTTAGGTAAGTTCTCATCCCAATCTATTTGATCGGGTCTTACATACATGCGCAGAAGCTGTTGGCACAAACGGTTCATTTGTTCACTCTGCCCATTCGTTTCAGGGTGTCTACCTGAYGACATGGTCAGACGTGTACCGTATGCCTCCATCAGCTTTTGCCATGGCATACTTGTGAACCGGGTATCTCTATCAGATACAATGGACAAAGGGAAACCATATTCAGTCACCCATCGCATCTGAAACTTTTGGATCACAAGTTTCGTTCTGGCTTTTTCGGGTAAGGGAATGAACATAGCATATTTAGAGAAACGATCCACGATCACCATCACTTGACTATTGTCATTCCGACTTTTGGTGAGACTCATGAAATCCATGAAAATAGACTCACCTGGTTCGCTTGGAATTCGTAACGGTCTGAGAAGACCAAGTGGATTCTCATGTGAGGGTTTGTTTCTCTGACACACAAGACAAGTACGAACATAAGTTAGTACATCCTCTTTCAATCCCTTCCATTCAAARCGTTCTCTAACTTCAGCGTAAGTTTTCTTGAAACCACAATGACCTTCGGCATCGTGACATTCCCCAATAATCAGACTTTTGATTTCTTCCTGGTGAGGAATACACAATCGTTATTCAGTTTGGTCTAGCAAGAAAAGCAAACCATCAGTTATCTTATAGTTGGGAAACAGACTTGGGTCTTTCGCAAGGACATCCATGATAGGTTTCCATATTGGGTCATTAACATATCCTTGGCGAATTCTATCTTTCAGATCATTCCCAACGTCTAGGTAAGAGACAATGGCACCAAAGAAATCACATCTTCTAGACAATGCATCTGCAACCACGTTAGACTTACCTTTGATAGTGTTCAACTCAAAATCAAAAGTGTCAATGAATGCAAACCTTCGTACTAGCTTATCAGAGAGCCTAGGCTGTGTCTTTATCCACTTCAGGGTAGAGTGGTCTGACTACACAGTGAAGTGTCTCCCTAATAGATAGTGTTTCCAGGTGTCTAAGGCACARACTAACGCATACAATTCCCTTTCATAGGTAGAATTGGCAACCTTTTCAAATGGCAATCGTGCAGACATAAACTCAATCGGTCTGTAACCATTGCCGTCGTTTTGTTGAAGCACTGCGCCAATCCCATACTGACTTGCATCAGTGGTGACCACAAAGGGAAGAGATGGATCAACAATTTTCAGAACAGGGTAGTGAGTCAGAGCGTACTTTACCCTTTTGAATGAGGACTCACAATCCTTGTCCCACAACCAGATCGTTCCTTTCTTTAACAATCTTCTCATTGGTGCAACGATCAATGAGAAGTTCTTGACAAACTTCCTATAGTAGCTTGCCAAGCCAAGAAAAGATCGCAACTCAGTTACAGACTTAGGTTGTGGCCAGTCTCTAATTGCTGATATTTTCTTTTCTTCAGGCCTGAGGCCATCTTGGTTCACTATATGTCCTACGTATAAAACTTGAGACTTAGCGAACTCAGACTTCTTCAGGTTGATTTTGAAGTTGCCTTCTCGCAACTTACTCAAAACCAAACGAAGATGCTTCTCGTGTTCTTCTAATGTTTTGCTATATACGAGAATGTCATCTAGATAGACGATGACGAATTGGTCCAACCATTGACGAAATAACTCGTTCATTGACCGTTGGAATGTAGCAGGAGCATTAGTCAATCTGAAGGGCATTACCATAAACTCGTAATGRCCATACCTGGTCCGGAAAGTAGTCTTGTGTTGATCCGCGAGCTCCACCTCGATCTGATGGTACCCAGACTTCAAATCAATTTTACTGAAGTACTTGCATCCCTGTAGTTGGTAAAGYAAATCGTCGATGCGAGGGAGTGGTTCGRCATTCTTGACAGTGACGRCATTCAACCCTCGATAGTCAATACAAAGACGCAATTCACCTT